TTGCATTTTCAAATGGATTGCTCTATCTTTGGGATGCATCAGAAGATCGTGTCGTATTAGTTCGAGGGAACAAAGATCTACCCATGGAGGGTAAGACAGTCGATGTTTCTATAGAAGCTTCACACGATGAGCTTTCTGATCTTAAGCTAGATGGAAAAGAGATAAGTTGTTTGTCTTGGGCATCATCTGATGGTTCAGTTCTTGCTGTTGGTTATGTCGATGGAGATATATTATTTTGGGACTTCTCTGATGGGAAAAATGTGAAGGCATCTAATAATGCTGTTAAGTTACAGTTGTCTTCGGCGGAGAAAAGACTTCCTGTCATTGTTATGCATTGGTGTTTGGATGTATCTCGCAAGAATTGTGGTGGAAAACTCTTTATCTATGGTGGTGATATCGTTGGTTCGGACGAAGTACTGACGGTAAGAACTCAACACCGTTTAAAATTTCATTTTCCCAGATTGTTTAGCTTGGGCGAAAATAAAATGGATCGTCTTTTTAAATTGAAATGCAGAGTTAAAATATTTTTCTTAACATGTTTCATTTCTAATGGTACAAGGGAAACCTAACATGAATTCTCACCTTGTATGTGCAATTGTATATCCTAACATGATGTCTTTTTACTGATCTTCTTACGCAGATATTGGCTCTTGATTGGTCTTCTGGTATGGGAGGTCTAAAATGTGTTGGCCGTGTTGACATGGCCCTTAGTGGTTCATTTGCTGATATGGTCTTGTCTCCAATTGCTAGTTCAAGGCAAAGTGGGGCGTTTTTATTTCTGCTGACGAATCCAGGACAATTGCAAGCGTACGATGATACCTCTGTGGCTTCTCTTATAACTCAGAAAGAGAATAATATTTCTGTTTCTCCGCTGCCATATCCAATGGTTGTACCGACGATAGATCCACGTATCACCGTAGCAATGTTTGCTGCATTAAATGTGAATGATATGCCGTCACTGGCTCTTTCTGAGGTAATCCCTCCACAAATTCCTTAAGTTGTTGCTTTCCACAGTGGGGCGATTAATTTATATCTTATTCTTGATAGATAGTCTTAGCCGCAAAATCTCGAACGCCACGTACTCCATCTGGAGAAAGTGCGCAATGGCCTCTAACAGGTGGTGTTCCAGGCCACATTGATGACTACAAGCTTGAAAGACTGTACATGGCAGGGTATCAAGATGGTTCTGTGCGTATATGGGATGCTACCTATCCATGTCTGTCTCTTATTTATGACTTAGGGCCAAAGGTATGAATGTTGTAACTTTGCTTCTTTTGAAGTTTATCTTAAGAACATGTGTGTAGGCTGGTTGATATTTGATGAGCATTTTTCCTGCAATTAATTATTTCTTCCTTTACAAACGATCAGGCAAATGGTATTGAGATAACTGGAGTAGATGCATCAGTAACAGCAGTTTCCTTCTGTTCTAAGACTTCTTGTTTGGCTGTTGGTAACGAATGTGGTATGGTAAGAAGACCTGTTTCTTTTGATACTTTCTTGGTTCCAGCTTTTAATGTTCTTCTGATTCTCGTTCTCTCTTCTGTCTCTGTAGGTTCGTCTTTTCAAGTTGGTCGGCCACAAAAGTGGAGGAACTTTGGAAGTTGTTACCAACAATGACAAGCAAGGTTTGGAACTTGGTACTACGCATCTTTAAAACGTTTACAGATTTGTTTTGTTGTATCTCATGCGTTAGGTTTATTTCTTGTAGTTCGCCCTTTGAATCAAGAAGATGGACCTCAATGGTTGGCTGCGTATTCCTTCCTGAGTTCCCCAGTTTGCACCCTGCGATTTGTACAGTCTACAAGAAGGCTTGTTGTGGGATTTAAATGTGGCAGGGTATGGATTTAACATCCGTTTCTAAGTCTCCGCATACAGCTACTCTCTCTAGTCGAAAGTGTTTCAAACCATTTATACTTTTCATTTCATATTTCAGGTTGCAATGCTTGACGTTGGTGCGCCATCAGTAATGTTCGTTACAGATAGCTTATCTGACACCGGTTCTCCGATCAAGTCACTCTGTGTGAAATCCCCTTCAGCTCCAGCTGGCTCAATAAGTGATCCAACTGATCGGGATTCCATAAATTCCGAAGCTGTTGATGATTTTATGTTGTGTGCGATGACTAAAGATGGACAGACCACTCTCTTTGATGGCAATACTGGGAAAATACTCGCCTCATGCCTGAGACCTTTGAAGAACCCAACTGCGATTTGTATGCACATTATAGGTAGTTTTTCTGTAACTAACATAAACTTTGTATTTAGGCATCTGTTAATTATATTAAAATTTTGTGTGTTGCAGAGGACTGCTTCGAAAAAACTGAAATGCCCAGTGAAGAACCAGGTGAAAGTCCATCTGAGAAGGAGAAACATGAGAAAAAATCTCATATGATCAGTGCAAGTGAGAGTCACTCACCATGTGGTGAACAGACTGCTGTTACAGAAACAAAACTTGTTGATCAGAGATTTACGAGTTCATTATTTCTCATGTGTTCTGAGGATTCACTGCGCTTGTATTCTTTAAAATCTTTATCTCAGGTATGTTGGAGAATCTATCTTGATTTATGATTCCTGGAACATCTTGCTGGCCTTTTCTGATAACAAGGACTTACTTTCAATACCTAGGGAAGTTTTGAGAGCATTATGGAGGTAAATTTTTCAAGACCGTGTTGCTGGATGGGAATCCTAAAAAAGGATGAAAGGGAATGTGCAGTACTCCTGCTTTACCGAACAGGACATATTGAAATAAGGTGATGTTCTATTTGGCTTCCACAAATACAATATACATGCCAGATAAAATGTCTTGCTACTAGTTAGTCCGAAGTACTATATAGACGAACTAGAACCTGATCAGAAATCAGCTTTAAAAGAATTGTTTGCTTATATGAACAGATCTTTCCCGGATCTTGAAGTTGTGGGAGAGAGCTCTTTGCTGTCACTTCTTAGGTGGAACTTTAAGCCTATTATGGAGACGACTGTATGTTCAGATGATTTCGGCCATCTCGTCCTGGTGAGACTTCCTAATATATTTCCAGAAGAGAGCTTTTATCTGCTACTGCTCTCAATAATTTGTGAATCAGATAAATCGATGAGACCATTGGATGCTTACCAGTTCTATGGGGTTTGTTGGTTTGGTTGTTGAAGTGTGCCAAGTTGGATATTGATTTATGAATTGGCAATTTGGCATGAATAATACTATGATAATATATTTAATTTCTCAGATGTTTAGGACTTATAAAATCTAAATGTACAGGTAAATGGTTGTGAAGTTGCAATCCTTTCGTTTCTGGCCCATCCAAACGGATTCAGGTACTGACTTACGATCTGCTATGCCCATGCTTTCTTTCTAAGTAAATAACAAGAATTTACATGCTTAGCAGCAAAGTAGCAGTTAAGTTACTAATACGATAGCTCTGTAATCAACTCAGGATCCCGGAGTCTTTACCTTTGCTTCATGACAAAGTCCTTGCAGCCGCTGCTGACGCTACCTTTAGCCATTTTCCTGTCCATAAGAAAAACCAGGTATGTTCTGTTTTCACATGTGAACCCTTTGTCGTTAGCTACATGATTTTGCTAAAAAGTGTATGTAATCACATCACAGGATGGCACTCCCAAATTTCTAAGTGGCATTATTAAAGGCTTCAGATCAAGTAGTGAACAGAAGGTGGACTACCAAATACAAGATTTCTCCCACCTGGGAAACATCTTTTCTAATCCACCATACTTAAAACCATCTGATGATACCGATGGCGACGATGAAAAGATTGTCGAGCTAAACATAGGTTTGTAATATCTGTTATAAGTTACCTCTTCCCAGTTTCCACCTCTACCTAAAAGTGATTTTCTGTAGATGATATCGAGATAGATGAACCTCTGAGCATCTTGCCTTTAACCGAGATAGACAAAAAAGAAAATAAAGGTAAACAGATAGCATATGACTGCCTCAAGTTCTATTGTCATGTTTTATTATCACAATGAATGCTTCTTTGCAGATAAGAGGACAGATAAGGAAAGACTATTTGATGGTGCATCCAGTGATGCACAACCCAAAACGAGAACTGTGGATGAAATAAAGGCCAAATACAGAAAAGCAGGGGTGGGTCAAAACCAATTCGATATAAACCCAAAAAGAGCTCTTTTGCTTTTTATGTCTAACATGGTTGGAGTTAATTTTCCAGGAAACCTCAGCAATAGCTTCACAAGCAAAGGACAAACTTCTTGAGCGTGGAGAAAAACTCGAGGTAATATTTTATGCAACAGAGATTTCATCTTCATTCAAACTGACATGTTCCCAAGCTGTATCACACACTGATTCTAACTACGAAACATATTTTATCTGTTTGGTCTGCTTTATTAAATACCAGAGGATCAGCCAACGCACAGCTGAGCTCCAAGACGGTGCTCAGAACTTTGAATCCATGGCACATGAACTTGCTAAGCAAATGGAGAAACGAAAATGGTGGAACATATGAGAAAGCTGCTACACTGCTGCGTCATGTGATGTTTACGGCGTTCTTGCGTATATAAATTGATTACCTTATGCTTTCCACAGGTAATTCTAGGCCTAGGCCTGGGTGACTCTCTTTCGTTTTTTTATCAATCAAATTTGTATTATAGATTAACCAAAGAGAGCAACCATACTATGACTTGAAAGAGTAAACTTTTGAAAGATTGTCGAAACCTTCTGTAATTGTTCTAATGTTAGTAATTGTCCTTTGAGGACCAATCTATTACATATAATGATATAAGTTAAACATGGGCCACAATGACCCACATCCGTTACGTAATCCTATAAAGACAGCCAAGTTAGCTTTGGTTTCCAGTTTCGATACGCACATTTGTCTGTTCATTGGCTCGTGACTAAAACCCTAAAGCTAAGCCCACATGTACCTGTACTTTACACAACAACAATATAACAGAAGCCACACATTGATACTTACATATCTCTAGTCTACTGATAAAGAAATATCCTTTTGGTGTCAGCGTAATGTAGAAAGACAGGGAAAGACTGATACAGAGGGATACACGACGACAAGTCTTAACGAAACACAAACTCATATCCCTATCTTTCTTTCTCTACGTTATCTCTTCACTTTCTTAGTCATTTCGGTGTGTTCTAAGGAGAAAGCTAGAGATACTACTTTCTCTTCTTCTTCTCTAGAGAGAGCTCCAGTCTCTAATGGCGAGCTGTGTTTTATCAGAATGTGGTATCAGGCCTCTCGCCAGGTTCTACCCCAAACCCACAACCTCTGTTGCCTCTAACCCATCACCCACTCTCAAACTCAACCCACCAACTACACCTCTTTCTTCTCTCAACTCCCGAAGTGGGTTCTTTGCTAGAACCAGAAACTGGGCGTTGAATGTGGCCACACCATTAACAACTCTCGAGACTCCACCCGAGGAAGAAGACGCAAGGAGGTTTGACCCAGGTGCGCCGCCTCCTTTCAGTTTGGCTGACATAAGAGCAGCCATACCAAAGCATTGTTGGGTCAAGAATCCATGGAAGTCGATGAGTTACGTTGTCAGAGATGTAGCCATCGTTTTTGGATTGGCTGCTGTAGCTGCTTATTTCAACAGTTGGCTTCTCTGGCCTCTCTACTGGTTCGCTCAAGGAACCATGTTTTGGGCTCTCTTTGTTCTTGGCCATGACTGGTAACAACTACTAGTCCTCATGCTTCCTTCCTAGATAAGATACATTCTGTGTCATGTCCTAAACCAACCAAAGTAGAAACTGGTTATTGGTTACTAACTCTGTAAATGTGTTTACTCTCCTTCTATATTGTTAACTAATAACTCATGTTGATTACCTCTTGTAGTGGACATGGTAGCTTCTCAAATGATCCCAGGTTGAACAGTGTAGCTGGTCATCTTCTTCATTCCTCAATTCTGGTCCCTTACCATGGCTGGTGAGTTTTGCTTCCATACCTTTTTCTCTCTCTCTGCAATGAATCATTTGTGAAATCTCACATCTTCAGGAAATATTATGACTTGTCCTTGTAGGAGAATTAGCCACAGAACTCACCATCAGAACCATGGGCATGTCGAGAATGATGAATCTTGGCATCCTGTAAGTATCAATCTCCAATACCAAACACAGATGTTGTTATAACATGGGTTCAGGCTGTACTTAAATAGAGCTTAATCTTTCTGTCACTGCAGTTGCCTGAAAGCCTCTTCAAGAAATTGGAAAAAACTACTCAGATATTTAGATTCACACTGCCATTCCCAATGCTCGCATACCCTTTCTACTTGGTAATCCTTTTGCATCATACTATATATCCACTTCACCGTCAAAATTGAAAAGTCAAAAAGCTAATGTTCCACATCTGATTCTTTGTGTTCTTGATGCAGTGGAATAGAAGTCCAGGGAAAAATGGTTCTCATTTTGATCCAGACAGTGACTTGTTTCTTCCCAAAGAGAAGAAAGATGTTCTGACATCAACTGCATGTTGGACTGCAATGGCTGCTTTGCTTGTTTGTCTCAACTTTGTCGTGGGTCCAATCCAAATGCTTAAACTATATGTCATTCCTTACTGGGTACCTGATGCTGTAACTGTAACTGTATTCATCTTTTTTCTCTAATCGTCAGGTGCTTATTGCATTTTTTTCACAACTAATTGCAGATATTTGTAATGTGGTTGGACTTCGTGACTTACTTGCATCACCATGGCCATGAAGACAAGCTCCCTTGGTACCGTGGAAAGGTATGCAAAATCTACTTCACCATGTTTATAATCTCTTCTCATTTTGAGCCACTGTGTCTCAAGTGCTTCTCTGTCCTTTTACTCAAAACATAGGAATGGAGTTACCTGAGAGG